AACATCAAGATGTGCTCCAGTTTTCCTGATTGGAGCAAAACTCAGGCAAGTAATGCTAGAAGATTATCATGATTTAGAGTGAATCTGAATGATGTAGATTGAGTGTACAGAATGATCACACTATCTATACTCAGTGGGGAAGAAAATAATCAAATCCACTATTCCACAATACAAGATGGATTACTAAATATATGCTTTAAACAGAGTTTTCACTCTTGTGTTAATGATGTTGCAGAACAACTGCATCTAGAAATCTTACTTATGTCATTGCACTTTGCCACTATGCTGCATTCCCTCAGCCTTTGGTAGTGAATTCCTCCAAACTGATTTTTTTTAAGGAGCACAATAAAGAGAGGACAAATTCCCACCACTTAACTTGGAGTACTGCACTTATTCTCATGATTACAGGATCTGAGAATCATGTGATGTCTAACCACTGCAATAAAGCCACACTTATCTCAGTGAACATACAGACACCCTGAAGCCCGCTCCTGCACTGAGAAAGCTACACGTGCATCCCAAAACGTATGCTTTTCCTTATCTGAACAGAAAAACTAATGGCTCAGGCTTTGAGCATACACTTTTTTCTGTTCTAAATGAAGAATAATCCAACTGCACAAGTTCCCAAATAGCTCATACCTTCATCAAGTATTTTCACACTTTCAGAAACACACACTTCTGACAGCTATGAAAATATGGTAAGGTTGATATTCAAGGAAGAGTCACATTTCACTCTTCAATGCACAGAATTCATTTTGCACCATAGATTTTCTTCCACAAACACACTGAAGTGATTGCAACCTTTCCTTCTACCCTTATAAACTAGTATAAAGAACAAATTCATTTGAGTTTAAATAAATAATAAGATTTATTTAAGAGCAAAGCTGACCTTAATACAAAGAAATGTACATGCAAATAAAGACCACATAACTGGTACTGAGATTTCCTTCCAACTACAGGGTTTCATCTACACTTTATCATAAAGTGAAGCCTTTGACCTAATATTGCCAGTCTTGAAATTCACACAAGACACTCGAAAATTATGAAATTTTAAATATGGTTTACACTGACAAATACAGTAGCAGGAGAAAGTATACAAATTTTATCAATGAAAAAGGAATGCCTTGATGCCTGCCATTTATTCTTAATCCTCCTGTATCTATTGAAGACTACTAAACCAGGCCTCAGGCCAGAAAACGAAAGTTCATGTTGAGAGAGCTGTGGGCTTTGTTTTGAAGGACCTCATTCTAAATGTTGCTCTATTTCTTTCAGTCTCTTGAATAGAACTACATCTGGTTCAAAGGATGGAAAAAAATGCTAATACGTCAATTTTGGAAATAGAATTCGTGTAGACATTTAAAAGCAACAGATATGACTTTAGAACTGTTTCTTTGTCCAAAAAGTGTTTTCTTTTTGAAGTAATATTTCACTTGGCACTAAGAACTCTCTTACTCATGGTACAGAGAGTTTCTTGCAGCAGACAGAGGTCCTGACTTAAGTCAAAGGACACACATATATTTCTGAAGCTTATCAGGGCACAAGAAAGATGCGTTTCTTAATGCCATGTTTGGTTATGAATTAGCCAAAGGTCTATACATGTGAATTGGCATCACAGTGGTGACTTCATGTCCGTTAAAAAGAAAAAAATCTCAAGAGCCTCTAGGTTAATAAATTATAATTCCTTCTTAAAGCTAGAGGTATTTGTTAATAATTGAACTAGGCAATTTTATTCACCATACTACAAATTATATTGAGAGTCATTCAAATACGTGAGAATTGGGACTTACAGACTTCTTATACAATCCACTAGTGATACACACTTAGAGAAGTGCTAAGTGTTTTAAAATTAGGCTCCACTTCTAACCAAACTAAGACTGATCCTTCAACAGTAAGTGCTGCAAAAGCATTTGAAGCAGCATTGGACTTGCCTAAGCAGCACTCCCAAACACAGGAAATCCCGGTGTTCTATTTTCAATTGTCTCTTTTTGTATTTCAAATTACTGCTTTTCTGCTCTGCTGCATCAGTAACAAGGTCTTTCTGTTCCCTACTGTAAAGCCTGGTACTTCAAGCACATTGCTTTTTCTGTGAGCAGTAATTTGTTATTTTGTCACACAGTACTAGGTTCCCAAAATGCAGACTAACTTTCAGACAACAAAAAGTTCCAGGTTTCAGAACTGAAATGGCATTAGCAACATGGAGAAGGTAAGTCAGCTGTTCAGGTACTAAAACTGAGCGAGCAATTACAACAGTCATCTCAAAAAAAACCAAACCTGAATCTTCTAAATGGGAAGCATAAAAGCTTATCAGCACATGGTTATAAAAGTTGGGTTGCAGTGACAAGAGAAGCACAGAGAATCAAAAGAAGCATAAAACAAACAAAAAAACTACAAAGAGAGAAGAGGAGAAAAAACACCACAAAGGAACATTTGGAACGTTAAAAATACATCAACTTGTACCAGCAACAGAAGACACCCTGGGGTCATTCCCTCATTTGTATCTCACAAGTCACATTTTATCAGCAAGAGAAAAACTAAGTGCAATTGCCTTCACATCCTGCTTCACCTCTAAAGCTTTCCTCCTTCGCTCACAGGATGTTGGGAATTATTTAGATTGCACCATAGGCAGTGACACAACACGGGATCCCTGACAACTGTGTTCAGAGAGGAGTGTGCCAGAAAGGTGTAACTGGCATTAAACTTCATTCTGTTGTGCACACGTAGCACATTCGGTCTTTCAAAAAAAGACCATTCCCTACAAGCTTTGCATTGTTTTGCTTTAAAAGGTGTGTTGAACCAGTTCTGTGGCACACGTGCGTCAATGCAACCACTCGTGAAAGGGAATGGCCAAAATCAGGTGCTGTTAGAAATCTTTCTGTATTTCATCTGCTCCACCTTCCTCCCCAAGATTTGGTATGAGATATGTCACCATGTTACCAGATTGATGGTAAAGTCAGGTCACAAAGCCCTGCCTAACCATTTAAATTTAAGAAATGAGGAGCCTCATCCTGTTGTACCAGGATCTTGGCAATTTGGCCATGTAAATGTTTAACTAGTTGCAAAATTCTTGTCCTTTAGCTGAACTTGATTCATTTTAGTAAGAAAAACACACCCACATCACTGAAGCTACCCTCCTCCTGAAGACGACCTTTATCCACTGAGCATGCACAATGATTTTCTAGAGGTTTACACCTTCAATTGCAGACAAAGAAAACTTGTACCAATCAGAAGAGGTTTAAGTAAAACCATTACCAACAGAAGTGTTATAGCTTATACATATGTAATTATGAGGCATTGTAATTATTGAGGCACTGGAACAGGTTGCCCAGAGAAGTTGTGGCTGCCCCATCCCTGGAAGTGTTCAAGGCCAGGTTGGATGAGGCTTTGAGCAACCTGGTGTAGTGGAGGGTGTCCCTGCCCATGGCAGGGGGGTTGGAACTGGATGGTCTTTGAGGTCCCTTCCAACCAAAACCATTCTATGATTCTATGCATGTCTGAATAGGATCAATTTAAGCACCAAGGGGTGCTAGCTTTGTGATTTTACCACCTAGCACCCAGCTCACAGATAGGCAATAAACAAATATCTCGACTCTGTGTAGGTTGGCTTTTTGCACAACAAGTGTGAGAATCCTAGTTTTTGAGACAAGAGAATGACAAAGAGCAAACATCTTGCAGCAAAGCCTGAAAATTAACCAGATGGGGCTGAATGGAAGCAGTTTCACAGTTGCAGACTTTTTGAAAATAAGTCAAGAGCATATTGCATACAGCAATCGAACTGAGTGCCCCTACACTGCGCAAGGAGACAGCTGTCCTCCCAGCTACCTAGAATTCAACTATGATTTCTACAGCTATAAAACCATGTTCATCTTAGAACTTAGAAAATCTTAGAATTGCATCTGGAAAATGAAATAGTTTAATGTGTTCCCTTCCAAAATACTGATGGCAACATTTTACACAAGATGATACTTTCAGTTTAGAGTTTATTTCCAACCACAAAAGCCAAAATAATCAAACATACAATTCTTGATACCAAACCCAGAATGCAGACAATCTCAGAATTTATCTAAGCCAGCATTACTGCTGGTGACTGGATTGCTACAATGCATGAGTCAAAACCGCCCCACACCCATCCCCATTTCCAGGCAGCAATAGTCAGGAGTCGTTCTGCTTGGGGTAATGCCTGTCAGCAGTAAATTACTGATGCTGTCTTTAAATGAATAAATTTCCATTTTTTCCTCTCTTGAAAAAAAGATGGAACACAGTAGGAATATAAAGTTGCCCTTGTTTTTTTTCTTGCAGAAGTGTGACTGGTCTCACATTATAAAGGTTTACACTGCTGTAAGCTCAGTACTCACCTGCCAGACAGATGAGTTGAGGCTGAGCTTTCTTCCTAGCCATATTGCCCCAAAGTAATTCCAGTTTCAAATGATCTATGTATTAGAAAAATCTTAAGCCAGCCTTAAAGGCAAGGTTTGGGGCTTTTTTAAGGTATAACAGACAGCCATCAGAATGCTCATCCTTGTCAGATCTACTGAAAGCAGCTATGGACTTAGAACCAAGTTATCATAGATCATCATGTTACCACAGGTAGGCAGAGCTGTGGTAATCAATCACCTTCATATGCAGCCCACAGAAATTCCAGCCTCACCTTGAACAGCAAAGAAATTTCAGGCCAGACAATCTAAAATAAACTGCTTTATTTTGGATTTGCTGTAGTCACAGTTGTCTTTGCTCTTGACGCAGTGACCTGCTGTCATAACTGGATTGCAGTTCTAAGCTTTTCAAGGAAATCACTTGGCATGGCTTAACTCCAGATATTTCAAACTGTGGCCACATTTTAACTTTTTTAATCTTTACTTTTTATGTAATCAATCTGAAAACAAAACGCTACACCATCCCACAGTTACTGCTGACACAAAAAGTCCCACTACACCCACCAGCCCACGCAGTTAATAAAGGGTGCGACCTGGCCTGCTTCAACGCAGGCACGCCAAGACTCTTACCTGCTCGGGGCTCTACCGTCTTGTTGGAACCTGCATCCATAAAGACAAACCGTCCACCTCCGAAATCTTCCGTGTAGTCAGAGAGATAGAGCAGTGAGGTGTAGTCAAAGGAGCCGTAAGTCACCTGGGAGTAAGACAACATTTATTACCAAATTCTCCTCCCATCTCTGCAGAGCACAAATAATGGATCTGACGGGTTTTCTTCTAGTTTTCCAGTTTTCATGTGTTTAATAAAAAGGCCTCTGAAAGCTGAGAATATTACTTTCTAGAAATGATATATGTTTATCAGTCTATTCTGTTATGTTTACACACACACTACAAACAAGACTAGCGTGTTATGCTTATTATTATTACAGTTTCCATAATTACAGAAGTGGTCCTATTGATTTCTATCATCCTAAGTCTACTAACCAGCTAGCAAAAAACAACATAGTGTCAGAAGTTACACCTTTGCATTGCATCAAAAAATATAAGACGGCTCAGATATTATCCTCATGGTGAAATTTTTATGACTCAAGAACAGTCTTTGACTAATTAATTCCACCCATTATCTAATCACGGTTATACATTTTCAGAAACCTCATCTTTTATTCTTTCCCCAGCCACATGCAGAAGCTTCATGGTGGCAGTGAATCAGACCTTCCAAGTAAACACACATTTGTTGGAGGAACTTCTTTTCCATACAAGTTTTGTTTAAAAATTTTCAAACATGACTTTCAAAGTCTGTGCTTCTTCCCAGTCCAAACATCCCATTTTCAGTTATTACAAAGTGATTTTCCTTCCTTTTAAAATAATTTCTTTTCCTTGATATGTATGTTGAAGATGGAGAAAATAAACACTATATATTAATGCTCAGAGTGAAGCTATCTAAATATTTAACACTGAATTTAACTGATTCTGAAAATATTTCCTTTTCATATCCACGTCATGAACAATCAAAAATATACATATATCCATGGCTGTATTCTCCAATTTCTTTACTGCATATCACAACTCAATTAAGTTCTGCGTTACACCATCAAACAGCAACTTGTGCAGCACAGTAGTACTGTATAAATATACAGCATTTGCAGTGTTTTGACTGACCTGGTGACTGTTAGAGGTAGGTGCTACTTCTAAACTCAGAGAAGTTTTCTAAATATTTTCAATTTTGTTTTAAGTTACATTCATTAGTGCCAGTTAAATTTTGGCTAAACAGCAGTTGTACATATTATTCTCTAAGGGCAATGACTAAAGAGAACACAGCAGATGCAACAGGAAGACATTTTCATTCTTACTCATTTTATTATTTTGACCAGAAGGGTGTAAAGGAAAACAACCAAATCCAGTGATATGCTGCACTACACAGTCCGAATCACAAGAACAAGAGAAATATTTCGGTGATTCCTTTCTCCCCATATTTAACTAAACCTTGGAAGCAATACAAGGCAGTAAGTGGGAATTAATGAGCATGTGGTACTGCAGCACCTCAACATAGCCATTCTGCAGCCCTCCTCATGCAATCAGCTTTGCAAAGCTATTTTCACCATCATTGATTTGGTAATAAAGCTTCCAGTCAGTTTAAGCACGTCGGTGAAGGCATTAGTATAATGAAGTCCGTTCAACTCATAATTTTGATGAGTTAGACTTGCAAGTGCTTTTATGCTGCACTCTACAGTGGTGCTGCAATCTTTGCTCCATCAGTGCACTTTCCCATCTTCTCCAAGGTGGCTTTACCAATTCTGAGCTTTTAAGAGCTGACTACAAACCATTTTAGTCTAACCAAACACAACCAATTTCTACAGGTGACTGATTTGGGAACCAAGTATCCAACGGAAAAGAGCTTTTCCGTTCCTGTTCTTGTTCCTTACTAATTCTCAGAAGGCAGCCAGGCCTGAGAAATGCAACACTATGGAAAGGGGACACTAAATTATACTCAATTATTTAAAATGCTAGAAATTGCCTATGCATATCAAATTTATTTGTTACCCTGGTAATGCCTTCCAATACCAGAAAGGTTAATAATTGAACCAGAAGTTCAAACTATGTGAGAAAAACTGTCATTAAAACCAGGTGATAAGCCATACAGGCACACTGCAGCAAGTCAAATTTCTATAGCTCCTTATGAACAATTCAGTGGAAAAAATGCAGGCATTGCCATTCAGCCTGACTCTTCAGACAGTATAGTGTGCTCTTTTTGAGCACCTTTTACCCAAATAAGTCAAACACCACTAATATTTAATGGTAGATGCTCATAATGATATTTATATGATACTTCTTTCAAGGCTATTGCTACAAATACAACTAATTGTCAGAACTAGCCACATTTGGCAGCATGGCACTCTTGGGTTTTTGAGGGACAAATGTTTATACGCAACTAAACAGTTGTAGGAATATATGCAGTAGGCCTGCAGTTACTAAAAGACACTTAGGACAGCAATCTCTGCTTTCCTTTGCAGAAGAAAATAACATGCATTCACTTTGCAATCAGCATACATCTAGCATGATATCTTGCAGAAATAAAAGTCAAAACTGCTCTTCTCCTGTAAGTCTCTACCTATCTCTTTGTGCAGATAATCCCAAAAATAGCCTTGATAGCTACTTCCAATGTTCTGTACATTGCTAGTATCTATTTAGTAGACAATGGAAGACACCAAACAGCGTATCTCTGAACTGCCAGAGGCTGTAGATGAGCTGAGGTAACAGGTTTGAGCAGACGCAAGAATAAACTTCAAAGATGATGGATTTCAAAGATGATGTTGTCCTAAGGCAGAAGTAAGATCTTTTGATGCATTTCATTAAACGTCTAACAACATGAGGGGAAAAAAAAAAAAAAAAAGAATGAAACATCTGCTAGAAGAGATAGCAGCTGCTATCAGTGATATCCTCAACAGCCGGAGGAGAGGGGGCTGCAGGAAGGGTTAGGGAGATGGAGAGGATATGCAGATAAGGAGACTTGATGGTTTGGCTTGTTCAGTTTAAAGAAAGGCAAAAAAGGGAATATGATTGCTACCTATAAATACATGGGGGTGGGAGGACACAGAGCAGGGAGGGGAGGAAGCTATAAACTGATCATGAACAAGCCTAGGCTAAAGAAAAAAAAAATTTGCACAGAAGTCCTGGAATAGGACTATTCTTTTTCTTCCAATAGAAGAAATTCAAGGAAAACAAACCAAAACTGATCTTATGGCAGAGCCTGACAATTCTGTGAAGTATGACAGGATCCTTGCCCAGGCAGGGAACTGCAGAAATCGTGAAGTCCCACATCACTTCTATTAGAAAACATTCTATGACTATACTGCTGTCAGAGTTGAGTGTGCAACAGCAATTCCATTATAAATCAGATATTTGAAAGGCTCAGTTCCAAACAAATTCCATCCAAGATGAAACCTCACATCTTAAGCCAACACTCTCTTTATCCAATTTAGATGCTTATAAATTCAACAATATTAAACAAGTCATTCGGATGATTTCAGGATTTTCACTCCTGCATAAATAAAAACCAAATACATGTTAGGGGGAAAAAAACAAAGACTCATACAGACAAAATAGATCTGTGCTTTGGTGCATGATGCAGTTAAAATCTTCCAAACCAAGGATATTCAGATTGAGAAATTTAATTGCAATAGACTCATCAATATAGGAAAAAAAGGCAAGACGGGTATTCACATGCTCCAAGAAGCCTACATCTTTCAACCAAGTGTAAGACTCTGAAACAAAAAAAATATCTCATGTTCATTTTTTTTTAAAGGCTTAATTTTACCTTTCTTTTGGAAAAAGGCAGAGGAAAAAAAACCCTGAAGTCTTCTAGAAGCAAGCTTCACTGTTTAATTATTATACAGAAATACATGAAGTGATTTGTTCTATTCCAAGGAGAAAGCATAAGTAACAATACAACAAAAAGACATGCAACAAACTGGAAAAATATTTAACATGCTGAGTTTTACTGATCTTTCTTCAACTCTCTTGTATTCACATTTGTTTTGGAGGCTGCGTAAGAATAACACTACTCTTATCTGGGAAATTTCCGACCTCAGATCAATAGCAATGAGGTTTTTTCCCTCCCTTGTTTCACCTGCAGTCTGGAAGCAGTAAGTGAAACTTTGTTGGAGAAATTAAAATACAAGGCAGGCTGACTGCACTGAAGGCAACCTGTGAAGCTACACAACTTGGCTACTCTATTGGGCCTTCTCTGACCTACTGACCTTCTATTTGAATTCAGTCCCTGGCATAGCCTGATGGGCTATAAATCCTTACTTTTTACCTCTTTCTAAACATACAACAATATAGATACAGATATACAAAATGTACACCTATAGTGAGCTAAAGTTATGTGCAGATGTATATTCTACACACATGGTAACACTTTCTGTAAGCCATGATCTGGCAAAGACGTACGTGAATGCTACATCTGCAGTTAGCTCTGCTCCAATTGCACTTAAGGGGAAACCAACACCAGTCCTTTGGACATACAAACAGAACTTACAGAGGAGAGAGGAATTAGAGGCTTGTTCATGCAGTAAGGAAAGGATTTAAATTAATACTTCAATGCCCACTCCAGTGAATGATGTACCAGAAGTGAAGGAGGTCAGTGTCCAGTAGAAATGATACATGATGATGTAATTTGGACTTTCATGATGGACGTGAAGTAAACAGGATCAAGGACGTATCTCTATCAGACCCCATTTAAGGCATCGTTAGCCTGGTTCAAACTCTGAATTTTCAAGGAGACAATGCAAACTGCTGTCATTTAAACCATAAAAGTAGCTGTATTATCCGGCAATAGCTGAAGTCCTTTATCCCAGAGGAGGTATGAGCAACTAAGCTGGGGCAGTTTCCACAAGAATGACCCCAGCCCATAGTGCTTTGTCCATCTCCCCAACACCCTCTGCTCTGGCAACAGCATTTGCTCCATGTGAAGATTAAAGAGTGAGAAATGGATCCTCAAGTCATGAGCACTTACAAGCAGTCTGCTCTAGATCTCTATTCCACAGCATCCACAAAATCCCTTCACTGTGGCTGGGGCCAGGGAAGTTCTGTTCCCTTGTGCTCTCCCCAAAAATGAAAAGGAACTGATCCACAGAAGGCTCCTACCTTAGCATGCAACGTTGCTGTCACAACAGCAGAGACAGTGGCCCAAATTTAGCATATTCACATGCAATCCTTACTGCAAGGACACTCTTGAACAAGGATGTAAATAACCACATTAAAACATATTTGATCAAACCTAGAATATAAGTCTAAGTTGAAGGCACAGATAAAAACCATTTCAATGGTGTGAATGCTTTAGCTTTCCCAGTACAGACAGCATACTGCAGAAATCAGCTGCTACAGAAGTGAAAAATGTTCTAACCACTTACACAGAATAAACAGGACAAGCTACAGTTTTAACTCCCAGTGTGATCTAAACAATACTTCTCTCAGAAAACACCTTGAAATGTAGCATAAGTCACATTTTCATATTTTACAGCAGGTATGCTGTTTTGGGAGGAGGGGAGAAATTCTACATGATTGTGAACAAGGTGTTTGGTCACTGCCCCAACTGGGATAATCATCTCTTCGTCACTGTCATAAATCAATTACTCAGTAAAGAAACTATTAAGGTTTAGGTTATGCATAGCAAGTTTAAGAGAACACATTTTGTGTTTGTTTTGCTTTTTGAAGCTGGAGGTGAGTTAGAAAAAGCCATGGCCCATCAGTTGATGTATCTGCTCCCTGAACAGACAGCCTGTGAGATAAAGGAAACGTGGACAAACAGATGGATAAAGCCACCAAAACATCTAGCCTGCTGTCCGTCATGTAGAGGCACTGTCAGGATGCCACAACAGAGAAGCAGCTTCTACAAAGGAAACAAATTCACTTCATGGAAACAGATTTGCTTTTAAATGACAAAATAATTTGTACATTATAAGAGAGATTTAGGTAGAAACACTTAATAGAGGTTATCCAACCACCTTATTTACCAATGCAAAACACAGGCAGAAAAGAATAAAGAGAATGTCTAATGCTTGTGCAGACACAAATCTCATTATAGTAATAAATCAGAGTCTGAAATTCTAATATAGACTTTTTTGGGCTGAAAGAAAAAAGTGGAGAAAGTAGCCATCAGCTATTGAAATTTACTTCTTTCTCTTTCCTTGTGGCAGTCGAATTAATTCTCTGAAAGCGTGGAAAAACTAAAAGGAACCTATGAATTTATTGCACTTCCCACAACCAGAATCACTAGTTTATTTGGTGTCTCTTGGAAGTGAGTGCAACATGTGATGGAATTCCTGTGAACCCCACCAGTGCAATTCACTCCTTACAACCAGTTCCTGCCAGCACTAGTCAAAGTAATCTGTGCCTCAAAACCATCCCTACCACCTCTGGTCCTAGGTCTGCTCCTGTTCAATGGTTACATCCCAACTGTTTAAAGAAGCAGCATCCAACAGCTGGTCTTGTCTTTGTGATACCAGTGACTGCAAATTCCACCTTCCGTTACTTTCTTCTTTCGAACAGCGGCTGTATCGGGTATCAGCACCGTCACCACATTTTCTAAATTTAAGCTGCTTCTGCTTACATGACAAGAAAGGGCACAGGAGCTTACATTAATGTTGTGAGCAATAACAGACATTATAACTCCCTCAGACTGACTTTTTCCAGGAAATATTTTCAAGGCAAGGAATATTTCTCTGTTTGATTTTTCATCTCACATGTTTCAGCTCAGACTTCAAGGTACACTGCCTGCATACAGATTTTTGATGGGGTAAGTTTTATTTGGTTCCATCTTGAGTGATCCATGACTCTAGAGTGACTCTAATTTTTAAATCCTGAAGACAAGAGATGTGGGTATTCTGGTGTGAGCTTTGTTTGCATTTTTGGCTTTTATTTTTTCTATTTGATTCTTCCATTGTTAGCTTGTATTCTGCTATGCTGTACAGAACCTTTGAACTCAGTTAAATTCAGAAATAAACTCAATACCAATCCCAAATCATTTAAGTCCACTGAGAAAGGCAAAGTATTAAGCTATGAGCCTGCAGATAGCAGATTATGCAGTTAAAAGAAAGTCACAACACTTCCTTTCTAAAAACAACAAAACATCAGATTATTGGAAGAGGGTATCACATTCCCATTCAAGAATATGCAGTAAAAAAGCCTCAGTTCACGTAACTGAAATATAAATGTTAAGCACTTATCAAGAGGCTCAGGTCAACTAATAACCGTGACCAATTGACCACTTTGAAGTAGCCCCTGCAAGACCTGGCTGAAAGAGCAAGACCCCAATTTGAAACATAGGTTTGATGAAACTGAAATGCTTTGTAGGTACAGGTCAATTTAATCAACATTTCGGACAAAAAAGATTCCTAAGTAGTCATTCACACAATTTATTAATTCTAGGAGAACTGAAGGAGAGAAAAAAATGAATAAGTATGTAACAGCCTATGTTTCTAAAACTTACTTATCCTTCTGTTAGGTTCATCCCCTGAAGGATTTTTAGAAACACCAGTTTTCAAACATGTTTGATTGTTTAATGCAAAATGACTTACAAGTGAGCTAATAATAACACGAAATATTTGCATCCCATCTCAGCCTCCTACTTACCTTGTCAACGTGTGGGTGCCAGTATTCATCGTGTGTTGTCTTGGCTTCTGTGCTGTTTATTCTTGAGAAGAACGTTGGCTTAGTCAGGTACATGGAAGCAGAGCTGATACCAAATGCCTGAGCAATCTTTTGTTGAATTCTCTGTCTCACATCACTGCAAAGAACACAAGACAGCATGCCAAGTGACACACCTCTCCTGCTTCTTCTGAGTTCTCCTCTATTCACTGTTATTGCTTGTTTGGAGCTAAGCCGCCTCCTCAGCTGGTAATCATGGGTGTACTCAGACTTTCTCTCTTGTTTTGCATTAAATAAAGGAGATCTACTACATCAAAAAAAGAGAGACCTCCTAGTGTTTGTTGTTTTGATTTTTTTAATTCTCAGAATATCAAGAAAAGGAAGCTATTTGTCTCCTGTGGCCTAGGTCTTAAAATTTCTTTGTCTAAGTAGCATATTACTAAAAAATTCCATGCATATCTCACTGTTTATTAACTACTGAAAATCTTAAGTCTTTCACATATATATATATTTTAATCCAAAGCACAAAACTAGAAAGTTTTATTGTCGTAAAGGGTTGCCTCTGAAGAACCTTCAACTATTTTTACGCTAATTTTAAACTAAACAATGAAATCCACAGCACCAGGAAACTCAGGGTTCCTGGCCAACACATGTATTGGTATTATAACCAGATTTTCCTTAAAAATCAATGTAAGATGTCTTTCCCAACTACTTTCAAAGATCCAACCAAACTCTTTCTACCTTGGTTATTCCTGTGTTTCTTGGAAGTCAGGAAGAACAGAACATGATTTTTTTTTTAAATATTATGAAAATAGAAAACTAGTAATCACACAGGCATTACTATACAGAATTACTTATATAGCAGCATCCATCTTGCAGATATCACTGCATACAGGGCTAAAACAGGGCCATCTAGAACTGCCAGCCTTAGTTCAATCATTAAAGAGGAGAGATTTGTGATTAATGAGGAATACCACTGGCAAATCCCACCAGTAGACACATACAGCTAGTATTTAACTTTGAGGAAATTTTAAAAACAAAGAATGCAACAACACAATGAGATTAAATGAAATCACTGGAGTTTGTTGTTTTTTCAAGATGTAAACTTCTATACTTCTTAATATCTTTATATTGTTTTCTCCCAAATTTAACACATTCCTAGCTATTGTATTAGCCTTCCTTTTCTTTCTTCCCAAGTGCTTCAAAAGCAGCATACAAACAAGATACTCTGAGTAAACACACTTCCGAAGTTGTACATAGAATTGCATTAGTAGTTCTGCATCTTTTCTGTGTCAGACATTTCCCCACTGAGTAGTACTGAACTTCAGCATAATTTTCAAGATGTTTTTCCCAAGTATGTCTCTGGGGAACTTGAACAGTGACTAAAAAGAAGTGACAGAACTAAAACCAGATCTACAGTGTAAGGCTGTGAAAGTCACCTGTTAAACTATTTCCACAAATATTAAAAAAAAATCCTAAATATTCATTCTATTTACATCTTGTCCCTCACCAAAAATAAAAAACTCAAACACATACAGATTTGATTTTTAACCTGTCTCACTTCACATTTTTATGGTTCTAAACTTTAGGGGTCAATTCAAGCTATTTTACTCGTGAAATATCAAAACCATTAAATGAAATTAGAGCTGAGATTTTCAGGTATTGACAGGGCTGCACGAACTGAGGCTTTGAGTTGAGCACTATATAGTGGTACAGTTTGTAAAAATGACATCAGGCAGGGATCTACAGGTCCTTCCTCTCATGCCTGTGGGAGCCTGATCTATGTGTCTAATTTTCTTTCCAAGTAGGAGGACTTCAGCAGAGGCTGCCTTTTGTTTCCCAAAAAGCATGAAATATAATTAGTCATCTCACTTCATGAATTGGGGGCATCTGGCACTCTGAACAACCCAACACAAGAATTAACAGCCCAACCCACAAACACTACAGCAGCATATTCCCTGGCTCTGACCGCGTGGCCAGTTGCATCAGCCAGCTGGAATATATCTATTCTGAAGTAGTTAGGACATAGTCTTGACATAACTTTAAATCTCCAGCAGCTGTAGTGCTCTCTAAGCAGCACTGCTTCCTCTTTCGGGCCGATTCCTTTTCCGCTATTAAAAGCTTCCTATTCAGCTTTGCTGTCTGGTGTTTATAAGGCTCCGTCAAAGCTTCGCTCCTCTTTGAGGCTTCCGTGCAACAGCTTTGGGCAAGACTGCATGTTTGGCAAACCAAGCAGGAAGCGAAGCTCTGCTCAACCAAAACAGCAACCAAAAATCTGCCTGGTTTAGACCGGCCAATGGGTTATCAAAGGAAAAGGAAAATAAACTCAACAATTTAAGTAAGCTGCAAAGAGAAAATAAGTATTTTTCAGAAGGTAAGTTTGTTTTTTCTTGTTTACTAGTCAAGTAGGCAGGGGAAGTAGTGAATAAGAACACAGTAATGAAGCAGTTGAGGTAAAAATGCCTGAAAGCATGACTTTGAGTGCTGTCTGGTCTCATGGAAGCAGCTGCCTTCAGCTGACACAGGTAGCTGGTTTTCAGGTGTGGAAGCATACTGCTGGCCTCTTATTTCCCTGTGTGCTACTGATTTCAAGTATTACTTTTAATCACGGTAGCTTCAAGTGCACAAGGCAACAAGATGTGCCAGCCTTGCATTTCTTCAGTTGACTTGTGTGCTCCTGCCTTTTGCTTCCGTGTGAGCTGTCATCCTACATAGCACAGCATCACTCGAAAACTTAATCAAGACAATTATGGCAAATGTAGCAGACTAACACGAATTTTATGCACATAATTTGCCCTTCAACAAAACAAATGGTAAACTATCAGAAAGCTCCACTGACTGTGATAGATCTTGGACTAGGCTTCAAAAAAACAAGTATTTACCCTTTGCACTTACAGCTGTTCTAACACATAATACAGACCCACCATGATGCCACATGTCCAGGGAGTAAGTTTATAGCAACAGCTTTCCGTTAGGAAAGAAGTCAACGGGCAAAAGAATACTGACTATTCCCATCAGAGCTCCATGAGCAAGAGGAGTTAACCTGCCGATAATAAAAAGTTGAAAATAACAAAGCAAAAGTAGCTTCGCTTGATGTGCAGGCTGCAGAGTCATAAAAAAGTTAAGTCTCAGGGGAGAGAACACTTAATCTTCTAGTTTGCCTTCAGTATTAAATGTATTTGCAAGAACTGGGGAAAAATCAAATTATTGGTTTAGGGCCTAATCCAGCCCATGCTGAAGTCAGTAAGGAAGTCATTTATTAATTTCAATGAACTCCAAATCTAACATTGGAAAAAACAAGCAAAGTAACCCAAACTCACGTACTGATCATTGGAAACAAGACCCCTTTCCAGCCAGCTTTGCTCATAAGAAAAGCCCTTCACAGGATGACCTTTCTGAAGGGAAATGGTAGGGACAAAAAGGAAATATTCAAGACCGGATTTTTTTTCTTCTCCAGTGTACATATGACAAAGATAAACGTAATCCACATTGCTGTAAATTGGGTATTCCCAAAGTTCAGGACAGAATTTAAGAGGTACAATAGAAACCTATGTAACCTATGATGGACCAAAGAGCGACAGGCCATCTCAGCCTCCCTATTTCTTCACATCCTGTGGATGCTCTTGAAATTTTTAGGCATGAAATACTACCATGATACACAAAGCGTCATCTGATGCACCTCCAACAAACACCCAAACAATTTATACTTAATACAAACTATTAAATTAGAAAGTTTTTGGCTACAAATATGTACATTTATTGCACTGTAATGTAGTGCAATAAATAACTTAATTATTGAGAATCAACAAGAAAAACTAAAGGCACATCAGTCATGAATACACTGCAGATTTCCACTGGCTTAAATGAATAACCCATATGGCAAAGATTTGCTGGAAACAAACTCCAAAGAGCAATACCTTTGAGTGCCTAAGTGCCCTTTCTTACTTGAGCATGTACCATACTGCTCAAAAGCTAAAGAAACTCCACGAAATTCCCAGCTGAGCCAGCACATATATTTCTAGACATAGATAGTGTTCTACTTTCTAATAACATGGCATCAGTCAGGTCAAAACATAGACACTGTAAGCTAGAGAAGAAAATGGAAAACATGGAAGGCAAGACTGTTTTTCAATATATGTGAATAACAACCAGGACTTCTCTTTGTCACATGTAAGTGGCTGCAGTTCATACTACGTTTAAGAAAGCCACATAAAAGAACTTAATGCTTAATGTAGGGAGTGGGGGAGAATGAAGGTGCAGAATACCCATCTTACTAGGAAACATTGCGTTGCACTATTTTAAATAATGACAAGGAGATCTTAAGCTTGTAGCTGATGTAAGAATGTGTCAAAACCCATCCATTTACAAGTTTGGTGCCAAAGGCAAAGATAACTGTGTGCTGCAGGAGGTATGTTTTGCAGGGTGCTTTGAGCTAATCTCGGATGCCCTTCGTTCCACATAGCCACCATTCACCCCACTGCAGGAGTCATCAACAAGTTGACAAACTTAGTGCAAACATGAACTTTGCTTCAAACTTCAGAAGATATCTTATGTCCCTCTTTGCAATAGCAAATTAAACACTACACATGGGAATCAAATGTTTACCTTGCAGTAGGAGCAAAGGCATGACTTGTTTTAGAGAGCAAAGTGTTCCCTAGAATCCTGTAAAGCATGTGTACACATGCATCTGTGTACATCAGCTCATTCTGTGCCCAGTGTATGCTAAACACAGCACATACCTGTTTTCAAAACTAGTATAAAGTCACTTTTCAGCCTATAAAAAGTCTGCTGTACAGCCTGCTTTCCACTGACCTGGCCATCTCAACATTTATCAATATCATGACTGCAAGTTTTTGTTTCCATTCCCTTCCCTACTCTTCCAGATGCAGCCTATAAAGTCTATTGGTAAAATAATTAAGGACAAACACATTGTACTTCATGTGTAAGTCATGTGACAAGATAAGCCAAATTTCAGCTTAGAAAATGCTATCAGAGAAGCAATGAATAACCCCAGAAATTCTGGACATCTTGGATCCAGTATAGTATGAGCCACATTGTTCCCTCAGCCACTTCTCACACACACCCAGAAGAAGCAGGAGCCTCCCCTCCTTCTTGATCCTGGCTCACTCATTCTTCATACTTTTCCCACCCATGTTCCCTATACATCAAAAACTGTTGAGAGAGCTCTGCTGTACTATAGCTACAAAGAAAATACTTCTTTATGCTGGAGAAGGTAAGCATTCATTTTCATCAACACAGCAACTATTCTATCATTCAAACTGCTTAAGGTATACCCTGGCTCTGACCAGATGCACTAAACAGAGCTCTGCCATGGCAATAAATACACATACAGCAAACAATACAAGTAAATTAACCCCTCCCAGAATTTGTTATCAGCAGTCCTTGTATATTTGCACTGAGTCATTGGATAATATCGAAATGCACAGGCCAGAATTTGGGAAAGACAGAACAGAACTCACTGAAA